TTTCCCAGCAATTGCAGAAGCCTGCCAGCCTCCACAACTTGGTGGATAACGGGCTGGCGCCGCGCCAAATCTAGCTCGCCTGACACGCTCAGCACTGGCAGCGAAAAAGACTGAATGTCCCCAACGACTTCGCAAACAGACCAGACTCGCTTACAAACAGTTCCGCAATTGGTGAGGAGCCCAAATATGAATTTGTGGATGCTGGTTGCCTCAACAGTGAAGAAAAAAGGAGGAAAGAATTGACGGAGGTTTTCTAAACACGAAACAAAGATGAGAACTGGAGGCAGGAGAGGCGGTAGGACGGGGAAACTGCTACGCTTTGAAAGGTGGGGGCTCGTTAGCTCCGACATGCGAAGGACGCACCTCGCAGCTGAGCGTCCGTTGTGTCTTTAAATCTCAACATGTACTTTGATGCTTTTAAAGTTGCCGCTATTCAGTAAAGGAGACGCGTAAACAGCTCACATCCCTGTCTAATGAAGAAGGGCGCTTAACTTCGTACTAGGTTCTGCTTGAATCGCCCGATATCCTGCTTTGTTTCAGCAGTGACAACTGAAAGTTGTCTGTGGGAGAAAAACAGGCAACTTCCTTCTCGCAGCAAAGCAGGATATCGGGCGAAAGAGACAGGGTCAAACCAAGGTCTCTCTCGTTTCCCTCATCGTAGCGATGTATGCCTAGCGACTTGCCTACTCATTTTCTTTCATGTAGTCAGGGTATGCCATCGTTATGATCATCACAAGGGGGGGGGTCGTATTTGACCGCGAGGAGGGGGATCGTATTTGGTCAGAGTAAAAAATTTTTTTTTCCATAGCTTGACTCGACGTGTTTCTCTGTGTTTACGCGACGCTGTCAAAGGGGGGGGGGGTCGTTACTTGTGCAGGCCTTCAAGCGGACGCCACTACTATTCTCCCGATTTCCCGACGCCCTCCCCGCCGCGGGCCCCCCTCGCGCCTCTGTGAAATGACATTTAATTCTGACGACCTTCCCCGCTCTGACGGCTCCGGTTCGAACTGAGGACGGATGAGGGCTGGAGGAGGGCTGGGAGGGGGGGGTCGTACCAACTCCCAAAAAGGGGGTCGTATTTTAGTATGGAATTAGGGGGGGTCGTAATTTTCAGAAAATGATCACAACGCGATGGCGTGCCCTGCATGTAGTGGGTGCTTGAAGGGAACGAGTTGGTTCTGTTGAAGGACTTGAAACAAGCGTATTGGCGGAGCGCTCGAGTTGTTTATTTCGATATTTGACGTATTTTTAGTCACTGCATATTCAGCAGTTGGGCATTTTCCATTCCTGCTCTCTCAAATTGCTTTTTGTTCGAGCAATAGTGGTTTTTAGGCGTATTATCGATGAGCTGAAGCGTATCATCGAAGAGCATAACATTGTTTTCGTCTCGTCTGCGGGCAATAATGGTCCAGCTTTATCGACTGTTGGTTCCCCTGGTGGAACGACTTCTGGAGTACTCGGTACATACATTTCCATTGGTTTACTAGCGATCTTCCTCAGTCGCTTTTCTTTTTTGTCCCATAGTATAATCTGCGGCGTGACGGGAGGGGGGGACGTTTTGCACTTTCATCAGCCTATCGAGCCAGCAAAGGGAGACCTGAGAAATGAGGCCATGTATTGATACCAGTCGAAGTTTGTAGAGACCATCTGTGAACCCTAAAAAGTGCTTGTCAATTTTAAAAGATACCATTCACCATGGTTGGCTCGACGAGCTTGCTTCAGCTTCTTACCGGTTCTACCAGAGCGAGACTTGTGAATCGGGACTAGTGAAACCTGCGCTTGATCTGCTTCATTAAGGTATCGCTGCTCGTATCTCTCCTAAGCAAGCAGCTACTCTCTATGGCGTATTTAGGGATGTGAAGTCGTCGCTGTATCCATGGAGCTCTCGTGGCCCTTCGTTCGTTTTTATTGCTTCAAAAACGTTAGCCTTTGTTCTGACGATTAAAACCTTAGTTTCTAGTGTCGACGGAGCATTGGGTGTGTCTCTGTACGCGCCAGGAGCCGCCATCGCCGGCGTTCCACGTTATACCCGTAAGTCAGCTGAGATGATGAACGGAACCAGCATGAGTTCTCCGAATGCTTCAGGCGCGATAGGTACCTTGGGAATCGTGGATTTTCGGTGTTTTCCGCTACTTTTTCTTCTTTAGCCTGTATGCTCTCAAAACTACGCTCTGATAGTATTCCATGGACCCCATACCGGGTTCGAATCGCATTGGAGAATACTGCCGCGAGCAATGCGAACGAGGAATCTTTTGGTGGGGGTCACGGTCTGATACAGGTTGCAAATTTATCCGTTTTTTTTCTGATAGATCGCGTTTAATGCTTTCTCATGAAGATATTGAATGGATATGAATATATGCGTTCGTACAAAGATATTCTGCCACCTCTTTTCATAACTGATATCGACGTACGGGTGAAGCAGTCTAATCGAACTTCGAGAGGTATTGCTGTACTCTAGTACTGTCCCATTGCGAAGCTTCAGATTTAAACATTAAGGCATCTATATCCGAGAAGTTCTTGAGTCGCGTAACTTACAGGAATATGTTGTTAGTGTTCAGCCCAAGTTCAAAGAAATCTCTGGTTGGTCGCGTTTGTTGCGTTTCATTCTTTTTCTTTTTTTTCATTTTCGTTCTTTTTTTACGTTACTGCCGTTGATTACAGATAATATTGGAAAATCGGACTTTGCCATGAAAATATCGTTGCAATCTGATGGTGAATTCGTGGAATTTCCTCGTACCTTTCTATTGACTGCTGGAGAAGGCAGTTTTGCTGTGAAAGTTGATCCTACAGTTCTTTCACCTGGAGAATTCAGTTACACCGAGGTGCGCGATATATGTCGGCAACGTTTTATTCTAGTTTTAATTCTTTTTTTTCATATGTGGCTGGTCAATTCCCCTGGTTCAAACTAGCCAACTCTCTGCACATCCGTTATTCTTGAAACCTGAGCATTTTCTCCAAGCAAAGCAATGAGGAGTCATATCTTTTTTTTGTTCTGGTCCCATTTCTCACTGATTTGTTGATGTCTGGGAAGTAGCTCAGAAGATTCGAGTCGCGACATCGTGGTGTTTAGCATCTTGTGTTTCTAGTTATTAGGTCATCCCATTCAAAAGTGCCGCCGGTTTTTTTCGAATAACACAGAGAGGAGAATAGATAAAAAAGTGATA